ATGCAATATTTCCGATGTCTGATCCACTTCACTGCAGCCCGTGATGATGAAGGCTCCGGAAAGGCTAGGATGCGATTGATTTAAAAGACCAAGCCCACCGCAAACTAGCACTGCGCATTTTTATATTTTCCTGCAGCGCTGGCAACTTCGTTGGTCTATTCGTTAATGTATGTTGGGGTGGGGGTGGGGAAGGTGGCAATTAATGAAACAAATCCGATCATTAACATGCGCGTCTCCGGTATCTCTCTTTCACACGCGTGTTTTATTTCCCGGGAACGTGCCAGTGTGGCGAGTTTGCCTCATATCCAGAATTGGACGCACATGCGTGCCAAATAGACGCGCAAGTTCCTGATTTGATCGTTTTGTCTTCGAGCTAGTCTGGGTGGGAGACACGAATAGCAATGTTACCTTTCCCACGAGGCTTCCAGACCTGCGGGGGGAAAGGACTAAGCCGCTCTGTGGAGAGACAAGTAACCCTTTCCCCTTGTACTGTCTTTGTACCTTATTAAGTGCTACTTGCGCAAAACCATTTCTAGGGCGTTCCATCTCGTTTTATTCTGTGCGTGGGTCTTAGGAATGCGCCGCTGGAGCGTAGGTCTCGGGGAGCAGATAGATAACGAACACCTGGAATTAGACATTTCTTGAAAACAGCACCCCGCTTCAGAGCCTCTTTTCATGCACTTCATCGTCCCCGCAGCGAATATAGCCCGAAAATGTTTGTGCATGAGCCTCGTTTGAACCCACCCCGAAGAATTATGTCGGCATCTGCACTGCTGAAATGCAGCATGCACTGGTTTTATGGGGCGATGGGCCATTCCTTGCAGCTAAGGACGCGGGGAAATTTCCCTTTCATAATGAATTCATTTTAAAGCAAGAGCTGCGAAATAACATCTAAGAATTAAAAAGAGGGGAAAAAAAGAAGCCCGGATATGATACAGAATTTTATAGCGAAGCAAAAAATGTGTCCTACACAGTCACCGGCAATAAATAAGATTTATCTATTTGGGTGAATATTTAAGTGTCTTGAAATCCAACTAGTCCTTCGGAAGGTGAAGCAAATCACTGTTTATGCCACTATATACAATTCAGACGTGTTGGACATAATCCCCATTCTTTCTCATTTCTTTGGGAAAGGGTGCGGACACACACACACACACACACAGACACAGGCACACATACTTTCCCTCCTCTCTCCTTCTTCTGCCAAAGAAATTACCAGGAAAGTAGGTTATTTGTAAAGCATTTGCATGCACCTAACATACAGGAAAACACACGCAACGCTTTCAAAAACAAACACACACAGAGGAACGTACATGTGTTTGTGTTAACATGAACCACATGTGCTTAGACATACTACAGCGACCTAGACACAGGGCAAATAGTTTAGTCTTTTAAAACTAATGTTTAATCACACCTATGTTTTTCAAACCCAATCCTTATTCAGGGGAAATGCTTACAGATTTCGTTAGGATATTTTCAGGAGGCAGTAAGAATGGTAGGATCTTGTCGGCTTATTATAAAATATGCAGGAAAATAATGCCTGATTCTTTTATTTTCTCACTGACACTCCTCCCCGCTCCTTACTCGATGGCCAAATCAAGCAACCCCGAGGAAAATAAAGACCCCCCCCCATCTCTATCATAGTACTGATACCGAAAGACAGACAGAGAAGTAAACTCTCCGTTTATATGCGTCAGGAATTGGGGAAACTATTAATTCCGGCGCAGTTGATTATTGTTTGCAATGTCCACTGTGTTTCTTTCGCAGTAAAACTTGTTCTCACTGCAACACTCTCCGATTCAATGGGATGTGTCTCCGCTCTGTTCCAAGAGGGGGTAGGCTCTGATCACCAATGGCACATGGATTTTCGGGGGTGTGAGAGCAGTCAGCAAAGCCAATTCCATACGCTAGTGCTACCCCCATCGCTGGGTTTCCTACTGACACTTTTTACTTGAAGGGGCTCTAACATGGCTCTTTTACAAGGGGGTTGGTGTATTTCTCCCACCTCAGCTAAAAGGTACGTTTGCTCTGAAGAAGAGACGCGCCAACAAATACATTAAATATAAATCTTAGTGTCTAGAGATAAACATAAAATCATAACCTGGTACGTTTTAATTAGCTTGATGGGTTTGATAATTGCATTGCTTTTTTTCGCTCAGGCCCTACAGTAACGAAACAAGCACAATAAGATTTATTATTATTATTATTATTATTATTATTATTATTTCCTGAGTCTAATCTTTCTAACATATTTCCATGTCAAGCATTTTCCTTTCCCATGTAATTCGTATTATAAACTGATACCCGTCTGTACACAAAGTTCGTCTTGTATCGATAGCGATATGAAGATTATATAGAATACATATCAAATCGTTAAAGATTCGCTTTCAGAGACATTTTTTGGAGTCTTTTCCCCCACCCTGCACACAGACAAAAAGAAGCTAATTATTCCGTATACAAACAGTCCACTTTTTTAAAGGAAGAGTCTCACTTGATTTGCAGCCAATTATTGCTATCGACACAAATATATTCTCATTAAAAAACTAATTCTGAGTTTAACTTATCCCCTTTATTTCCCCCGGATGTTTCTAATTATATTTAAAGCAACGCAATGAGCGATATTTCTCCCCTTTTTACAACGCATTTTAGACATTCATTTAATTATTTTTTACGAAAAGATGATCTATAATCCACAGAAGGCAGGGCTGGATAATATATTTTTGTTACTCTTTTATTAACCTTCCTGGCGAATACTAATTTTTAATAGGAAGCAGTAAATCACCAACTTAGATGTTTGGGTAATTTTATTTATTATCAGAAATCACATAATAATACATTCCTTTTTAATTATTATTGTGAAGCAACTTTTTACATGACTATATAAAGCCAGCACGTGCTATGACAGACATTTGCATAGGCCCTACATATAATAGCTTGAGGTAAAAAACAAAACATTACATAGGAACTATTTTGCAACCTAAGTATATTAACACCCGCGATAAACTAGTCTAGAGATGCAAGCGAAAAACTGGGTCACATACGCAGGGAACTAACACAAGACAAACAGAAGTCTCACCGAATAATTGTATATACCCATCTGAAAGGGAATATTGCATATCTGTTTTTTTTTTTAACATTTACCATCACGCGCTTTCTTTTTAAAACCATCGAGGGGCGATGAACCTCGCCTTGCTAACCAGACATATGTCACGAGGACAATTGTCAAGTATTAAATTCTTGCTGGTGGCTTGACCGATGGGTTTCATAGTACATAATAAGTCCTCTTCTTCTCTCCGGGGTAAAGACTTGCCAAAAGCGATGGCTGATAGTGAAGTGGAGATGTCATCCTTAATTCCTTTTAGTCTCTGTCGCCCTCCAAATGCAACCTTATTCTTCCCGGGATTGCTCTTCTGCTGGGCTGGCAAGGGACCGCAAAGGGGAGCGAGCCTTGCGTTCATAAATCAAGTCAATACGGGGACGGCGTCTGGGTGCCTCCACCTTTAAGCCAAACGCCAACCATCACACTGCATGTCAGCGGATGGATCGAAAACGACCCCTCTGCACACAAGCGCCTTTTGTGTGGCTTTCCCTCTCCGTGGAGTGGGCAGGCGGGTTTCCAGAGTATCGGTGTCACCACATGGGCACCCCAGGGGCTGCGAGTTATACTCGTTGGAGTCCTCGAGTTACCCTTTCAAACAGGGAGACGTTTGCCCCCCGTTTCACCCCCTTCTCATTGCACGTAGTTGAGCGGACTGCTCCGGAGAAGGCCTCCTAGTCGCTACAGTCCTTATTGCACAGTATTGCACGCGGCCAGGCTGCCCCGGGAAACTCGTATGTGTGTGAGGGGCAGGGCGGTGCGAGGAGGCGAACGGGTCTGTATAGAGAGGGGCGGCAGGCGAGGGGGGGGGGTGCAGTGGGGGTGAAGGCTGCGGAAGGCGTGTGGAGGGCTGGGCTCCCCTGGATTTTTTTGGGGGGGAGGGAAGGCCCAAAGAAGGGAACGAGCGCTGGAGAAGAGGCCGGCTTTCCACCGCTCCAGCGCGTCCGTTTGCAGCTCGTAAATAAACCCGCTTGATGCCGCAGCGCCTCGGTCTTGGCCGTGAAGGCGGGGAGCAGGCGGCAGGTGGTGACCATTTAGGTTTCCCAGAGAAGCTTGGCTTGTCACAAGATGAATCCGCCCTACATAAAAGGAGTGGAGCAAAATCGTGGAGGGGAACACTACGCTGCGGGGACCCCTTTTCTCTTCCCCCTAGCCCCTTCCCCCCGCATCCTTTCACACCTGGCAATGCGGGCAGCAGGGTCGGAAATACCTGCCCGTCTTTCTTTCCCTGCCTTTGCAAGAAACCCGGGGGAAGGGCGTTCAAAGCGGGTGGAAGGCACGCGTGGGGCGGTCACGCGAGTGGTTGAGAGAAAATCGGACCCCCCCCCCCAAAGAAAACACACCGGGGTTAGCTCGCCCTTCTCGGGAGGAGGGGCCCAGCAGGCCCGCGAAGAATTAAAGTGAGGTATGAATGCTGCGGGGAGGGGCGAAGTGACCGCGTCTCCCGCACCTCTCTACCTTAATACAAGACTCCCCCCCTGCATTAAACACACCCCAGCGCCGCAAATGCGCCCGCCGCACAGCGCTGTTTCAACCCCCCGGGGGACTGGAAAGAGCAGGCAAGCAGAACCCAACCGGGGTGACGGAGGTGGGGTTGAGATCCCGGAGGGAACCTGCGCGCGGCCCAGTCTCCCGTGGAAGTGAATTTCGTTGTGCGTGGCAGGATTCTCGGTGCCACTTTCGGCTGGCGGGCGGCGGGCGGGGCCTGGGCTGAGGCTAACACCATCGCGTTTACACGGAACCAAGCGCCATCCAAGAAGGGCTGTGCGCCTAGCTCCGGGACAGCCAGCTAGATCATGCTGTACACTCTCGCCCTCGGATTTCCTCCTGCGTTGGACAATCCCGGGGATGGGATGGGATGGGATGGGATGGGATGGGATGGGATGTGGGGGGGGGGTGTTGCGAAAATAGGTGCACCCCTGGCGGCGAGCCGGTCACCCTAAGAATGGGCAGGCGCTGCACTAAGGCGCCACTTCCACTCCAGAGAAGCCTCAGTGACAATGTACAGTCAGTGGCTTGGCTCCTAGGCCAATCTGTGGTGCTGTCCGGAGCCAAGACAGCGGGGTAGGGAGAAAACACCGCACACCACCCAAGAAATCTTAGTGCGTGGGGGGACCCCCCCAACTCCCTCGCTCAATGAAAGGGGACTCTGTCCTCCCCACCACAGACTCAACGCGGCGGACACGCGTGTAGACCGTAGACCCCCCAACTCTGGCTGATGGGTGGGGGAGGGGGAGTTGCATATTCACCTCGGGGTTAGCTTCCCAACAATTCCAGTGTAGGAGATGCAGATTCTGGTACTTACAATGCTCGCTCGCTTGTTTGTTTGTTTGTTTGTTTTTAAGGAAAATGACGAGTGATCAGGTAAAGTCCCGGGACCACCCGCTAGGACGAACACTAGTCTATGCGGTTAACCAACCTGCAGGCTGTGAGGGCTTTAAAAGAAAGAAAGGGCTTGTTCCCGCAGAAGCAGTCTTTTCTTTTTCATGCGCCGGTTCTGGAACCAAATCTTCACCTGTTGGTCACTCAGGTTTAATCGGTCTGAGAGCTCCCTCCTCCTCTGGCGGGTAATGAATTCGTTGACCATAAACTCCCCTTCCAGCTCGGCCAGCTGGAGTTTGGAATAGGGCTTTCGCTTTTTCCGGGACCGTGTGTGCATCGGGTACCAAGGAGCACCTAAGAACGCGGGGTGGAAAGGAGAATTCAACACACGGGAAGAGACACGATCGGCTCCCGAAGCAGGCGCTGTCCCCCACTTCCCAGCTGCTGCGGTTCACCCACAGTGTGCAAGGCATACAGCCGAGGAATACCACCTCAAGAGACGCATGTATCTTGGGCTACAGTACGGGCTCGACCCATAGATCTACGCTAGGCACATAGAACTATGTCTTACTTGGGGGTGACCTACGCTCTCTACACGGGACACATTTCTCTGTTTCATTCGACGCATCTACCCACTTCAGACTGTCCCACCGTCTACACGGCTGTATTCCTTCTGTACAAACCTGAACACATAGGTCTGTGTCCCAGATGCCAGAGAGATACCCCTTGCTCACTCTCGCCCCCCACACTGATACAACAGACCTACAGCTCAGACACAAGCGAAAGGGACAGGTCAAAATCTGCGCCAGCTAAACGCCAGTGAAAGTGAATCCACATCACGCGAGACACCAGGTCAAGTATTATTATGGCGCCCCGAAGCCGCCCGGGTTTAGGGGTATTTTTATGGCGCCTTCTAAATGTGAAAGGGAAAAATATCAATAAAGCCAACAGGCAGAAACCAGCGGTTGGGGGGGTGGGAGGGGAGGAGATCTCCTTTCACCTGAAGGGACAACACCAAGGGACCCAGCGCTGCCTTTTTAAGCATCACCTTTCTCATCTCTCCCCACCTCCACCACCTCCCAGACTGCCACTCCACTGCGCCCCTTCTGCTAAAAACAAGCTAGGCAGGGCGAGCGAGGCATTTCCATCTCCAGGAGCGTATTTTGGGGTTTGCTGCGCGCTCCCTATCTCTTTTATGGGATATTTACATGTTTACAGCCTCCCCCCCCCTTTAAAAGAAGCACCACCTCATAAAACATTAGGCATTTGAGTGCTACCCCTAGCGGCCTCTCCAGAAACAGGTCCGCTGGTCCCCGTGCTAATTCCTTGAAGGATGGAGACTCGGAGGCGACACCCAGCCTCCGAACCAGCGCTAACCAGACGCACTGGATTCCTTTGGAGGGGGGGGGCGGTCTCTCCCCTCTTTCTCCG